TAAGTGTGGGATCTCTTGTTTACAATATTTAAGTTTATCTTTATGATTGAGATCATTCTAAAGTGATTGTTATTCTATCTTGTAATTGATTGCCTTTACATTATTGATGGCTTTAAGTCTAAGCATCTAATCTTGTGAAACATTAGTTTATATTGCAAAGCTTAAATCAATTTCTTTTATGATAGACCGTCCGATTTGATTGAGAGGGAATTAGGAAGTTTCCTAATTCAGAGGGAACTATTTAGGAAGCTTTTTAATCAAAAGGGAATTATTTTGGAAAAAAATTAATTACATTTGGGAGAGAATTATTTAGGGCAAGAGATCCAATTTGAATTCAAAATCTGAGATGGATTTATATAGGGAAAGGGAGTTGATTTGGGAGGTAATTATGGGAGCCTATTTAAGACTAACTAGAGGTGATTTCATATTTTCTTAATGGGCCATCTAGAAGTTTTCTTGCATTCAAGTAGCTGCATTTATCTAGTTCTAAATATTTTCTGTGGTAGCTGGTTAGAGGAGGATGAAAACAAATGGAATATTTCGTCCTTGATTTCCTTCATGTAGGGCGTCAATCCGCTCTCCTTTCAATATTTTCTTTAAAAAGTCTGCTCTTACAAGAAAAGGGCTGCTGGTTTTTTATTCGAAAATGATTTCAGGGTTTCATGGTGGTCCTCAAAACACATCCATCATTTCTTCATCACTTCTTATGATATTAACTGTATATTTTTTTCTGCTTGTTGTTTATCCCAAGTGCAAGTTAAAAATAATTTCTAGAATATTCTTTAATCCTCCATGAAACTCTTTTGATTGGGGTCTTATATATTTTCCCCATTTTATTTTTATCTTCTTTTTTTGTTATTATCCGACAATTCTCAGTTATTAGTTCATGTTAAATAATTCTCATTGGATATAATCGGAGCAGTTCTTTTGAGTAGGCAGGATCATGAGAAAGACTCAGCTGTGCCTATCCATCCTAATGCTTCAATTCTTCTCACTGACTTAGTGCCAAAGTATCTTTTCATGGAAACATTCCTCATGATAGACTTATATTTTTCTTTGACTATGTGTATAGTAAGAGAGTGATTGTTATGAATGATGTTATGAGAATTGATTTGATACACATTAAAGAAGGTG